CGTTCGATATTTTCCTCGATCTCATCAACAGCCGTAAAATTAAATCTTTCAATTTTTAGTCCATTTTATATTTTCAATATATTTTATGATTTACAAATTATCCAAATAAATTCTTATATCGTGACGTTTGGTAGTCGCAATTATTATTAGATTAAAAATAATATCGTTGTTTTGCGTATATTACTTTTTAACATACATATTGGTAAATATTAATTTACCAATTATGTTAATTATGTTGGATATTTTTTCGATGAAATCTTTTTAATTTTTACCAAATATAGGACAATCGATGTTGAAAATTCTACAGAAAGAAAAGAATTTTTAAACACTATACCATCATTCACATACTCGCCGCAATATTCATTTTTATTTTACATTGGAAAGCATTTTTGCAATAAACATCAAAATATTAATCGTAATAATAATTGTTCAATCTGATTATTTATTTTTTTTTTCACTCTAACTATCACTTTTCATTTAATATAAACGACACACATATATAATGGGACGATATCGAAAATTACTTTTCATAAAAACTTTTAAGTCAATTAACATTACATGCTTAATAAAGTGAATGTTATTAAATGATTTTATATTAGTGGAATTAACGTGGAATAAATGTCAATTCAATCGAAATAAATTAAGCTACAATGTTGTGATATTGATTAAAAAAAAAAAAAAAAAAAAAAAAAAAAAAAAAAAAAAAAAAAAAAAAAAAAAAAAAAAAAAAAAAAATGACAGTATGATGGCAATATGTGGTCAATAATGTAGGTAAAAAGTTAATTTAACCTGTTGGAATTCGTAGTTCATTTGAGTGTTGTTACATTCACTGTTACACATTTACCATCGTTATTATTAATCTGTTCACTTGCCTGACACTCTTAAGTAGAAAATGTAGTTGAAAGCTAAAATGAAATTCTCATGCAGTAAGCAGCTTAAGTGAAATGCAAAGCCTGAATTATATCATCATTTAATACATTTCAGCATAATGAAAAGCATATTATAAGACCAGAAGCATTACCAAGTGTACACATACGAACATGTACTCTAGTCGTGGTACGACTCGTGGTACTCTACTCTTTCCGCTAACCCATGGATGACGTATGCAAGCTGGGATATTTCTCGGAGCGAGGAATCGGCAATGCAAACGGGGATCACTCGCGCGTATGAAAAACAAGCGAGTACAAGGATGTGAACAAGTGAACAACAATAACAAGCAAGTGAAATGAAAAGTACGTAGGTGGCATTGATGGTAATTCTTACCATTAGCGGGTTCGGTCCTCGTGTGACTCTGAGCCCTCGTCTCGCGGCTCTCCATCGGCTGCTTCAGGAATCCCTCGTCACCAGCGATGCGACGCTCGTTACTGCGCCGGTATACCGAGGAGATTGTTGCCAAACATTTGATCTTCATGTCCCCGTGCCGGAAGTGCTTAGACCAGGCATGAAACTCCAGTCCAAGTTGCGCGGTCTCGAGGCCCTCCGCATCCACACTGATTATGCGAGGCCCTTTCAGGTACTGAACGTCAACCTGCCCGGTACACACAATGGATTAATGCAGAGGAATTACTCGCGAGGAGTCTCCCTTACCATAGACATTCGCCATATTTTATTAGGAGGAATAAGGGCCATTTGTAATTATATTCAGCGCCGCAGTAATACACATTTTCATTGTTATAACAATATATATACATACATATATATATATATCTTTGAAATTAAATTTCGTCTTTCGATCGACTTTCCTATAGTCGCAGAGGCTAAAGAAATTTTACAAACAAACATGGTGTTTGACAAACGGAAGTGAAATGTTATCGGTAGGAAAACGAAGCATATAATTATGCGCAAGAATAATACAAATTTGAAATTATTTCTAAACGTTTCCATTCATAAAATGCGCTAACGAGTAATTTTTTTATTACACTTTCGAGCCTTTTGAACTACGCGTCTGACCCAATAAATGTCGTTTATCAAAGCTCCAATGCATAGATATAATAGTCTTATGTGGTTTAAGCTTTTATAAAAGATACATTATGGTATTGAAAAAATTAATTTTTTTTATATTGTAATGCGTAGTTGGATAACTTTTTTTTCTGCATTACGAAGTTTGTCGTTGAGTAATAAGATAATATAAATCCAACATCTACTTTTAATATTTAATAAGACATTTCAAATACTTTGTGGTCAATTTGTGTGTATTGGCAACTAATCATTTACAGGTAATAATATTTTTCAATTTTTATATTAATAATACATTTGTTTGTTTGTTTGTTTGTTTGTTTGTTTTGTTTTTTTTTTTTTTTTGTATAATTCAAGTAAAATTATGTTACTAAATAATTAAATATTATTACAATTAGAATTATAATACTTTAATAATTTATCATATTTGAAGTTCGTTTGTATCAAGATAAGATATTGATAATATGGCATCATTATTATTTTTCGTCATACATTACAACAGCAATTGTGAAATGTTGTAATCACTATATTTTTAGTAAATAAAGCTTAAAAACGACCATAATTAAAATTATATAAATGTTTTAAAAATACTTGGAGCTTTGATTTTAAAACGACAAGTAAATTATTGATTATACTTCATTTGACTCTGTATAAAAAGCTTCCTTATTCAATGGAATTTATAGTCAGACAAATTTAAAATAGATTTCTTCAAAATTTGCACATTTAATAAATGAAATATTATAAGAATTTTTCAGAATATTTAATTATGTCGTTATAACGGGAACTCAATTATAATTTATAAAATCCTTTATTTTTAATGGTTAAAATTAAAATTATTCCTGTTTATAATAAGAACGCGTTTCAAAATATTTTCCTTTCTTCGAAGTTTCTGACATCCTGGAAAATACGCATAATTTGAGAATTCTTTACTTACATTTGTACACATTATTATGGAATAATTATATAGTTTTAATATTATAAGTATTATAGCTTCTAAAAATAGTAAAATATTTCATTATTTCAAGGTTTTTGTAGATAAGGCGTTGTATAGTATTAGAGATATAATTTATGATTTTAAAGAATTAAAATTCACATTTAAAATTTCATCGACTGCATTAATGAAAGACTCTTTAGTTTCGTTGTTTTCAATTAAAATTACCTACAATTACATTACGCGTTGAAATGTGAGTGTAGCAAAAGTTGTCCCGAACAATAAATAATTAAAGATATAAAATTTTGTGAATACACGGGACGTAATTATTATAATTATTTCTTTTATATTGAATTTAATTATACAGGAAGTATAACAAATGAAATTTCATTTTAGTCTTCTAGTCTACTTAATCTTCAGAATGTCTATTCCATTAATATCATTTGCATAATTGACTTATATATAGAAATCAAATGTTATTGTTATAGTTTCGTTAGAACTATATATCTGTGTTATATATATATATATATATATATATATATATATATATATATATATATATAAATGTTATAAAATTTTTGTTACAGCAATTTAAGATAAAGAGTTGATAAGTGCCCAAGACGTAAGTAATTTTTTTTTTAAATTGTTATTTAAGATTTTTAAATGTTCATTAATGAAAAATAAATTAAAAATATTGTTTATACTGTATTTATTTATTTTTTTATTTTGCTTTTATTGTAGATACATATATTATTTTATATATGACATACCTTAGTATGTAGATTAGTATATATAGTTATATAAGAGAAAAAAAAAACATATTATATACAATAATTATACGCATGGATGTTTAAATGACAAGTGAAATTAATATTCAAGCAATTGTAATGTATTTCATTACAATAAGTATTATTGTTAAATAATGATGTTTTGTGAATTTTTTGTGCAAATTTTGAGAATTTGAACAATTTTGTGAATGGTGAAAGCTATGCAATCGTTAAATAACACGAGTAAATATTAAAATTGCAATTAAATTGAAAATTTGAATCGAAAAATAATTGAAATAGACGGGATATTAAATGTTGTAACATTTAGTAGAAAATGGTGTATCGCGAGATGATAAAGAATAACTATAAATATATACATAAAAAGATTCTGTTTCATTTAACAAAATTTATTATATTCGCAACGAGCTGATATAAAAAACATAAATTCATTTTATTAATAATATAATTAATTAATTGCATAAATTATATAATCATACAGATTACGGCATTGCACATATGCAAAAGGTAATATACTTCTAATACAGAGACTCGTGGTCTTCGTTATATAACCCCGTAATTTCGACTCGAATAATTTCGATTTTTTTTTCCATGTAATAAAATGTAACGCGTAAGTAATAAAGTCAACCATAGCTCTTTTTCAGAGAGGTGCAAGTTACATGCAAGCTTAGAGGCGGACACAGTTATCTTGGGTCGGGAACATATTTTAACGGGAACCCGGTTTTCCTTAAAAATGTGGAAATTGATCGGGAAGTGCGCCGAGGATCGAGAACACGAGAACCTAGTGTAGCAGGAAGGAGGGCTAAGCCGGCCTAGAGGACGGGCCCTGACACAAATCCTTCCTGGTCATACGAACACACTGCACTGCACGACTTTTCAGACGATGAAAATGGGCGGGAAAGCAGATGGGATAGAGCGGGAGATAAGGAAGTTATTCATGTGAGTTGATCTTGGCGAATGAAATGGGGCGCGGAGAATCTGTCTTACGCTTTGGCTAATGAATGCGTGGCTCTGACGTGACTTGTGCGAAGGGGCAGCAAATTGTCGTAGCCATTCATGAATATATAAGAGCCATAGAAAGTTTAATTCTTTTCAAGTTATTTCAAGCCACAGCAGCATACTTGCACATTTCTATTTATAGTTTTTATAAGGCTTTGTCAGAATAATTTTCATGTTCATTACGTAAAATCTTTGCAATTACGTTTTTCTCTCTCTCTCCTTTTTTTTTTTTTTTTTTTTTTTTTTTTTTGTTAAACGTTTTAATTAGATGTATGAACATTGATGATAATAAATATTACAATATAAATTATGTCAGATTATCAGATGTATTAGGTGATTATTTTATCACTAGTGGATATGATCTTATATTCTTGAGGTACTAATTTCTCGAAATATAATAAGAAAATAAGTTCGGTAACTAATTCTTGTTCTTTCTGTTCAAAAGAATTGAAAACAGAGAGAATTAGCTCTATTTATTTTGTTTTAATTATGAAATATAAATATACAAAGATTTTTTGAAACTATAAAATACATTAAGCTATAATATTTATTATGACAAAATTTTCTATGATATATTTTTAAATATTTGTAATTTTAACGTGCTTAAAAATTATTACAAATTGTACAAATTTTTTGTGTGATTACTAGTATGTTTATATCATTGATAAATTTTTTAAGATGTAAATATTATAATCTACTAACTATCGTTTAAAGTTATAAAATTTAATTTTGTTTATTGGCATATGAGAAATTATAGGATTACGTTTATAAAATAATTACATTCCATCGCATTATATTAGCATTTTTAATAATAATCATTTCATAAAACTAATACATTTTTTTAGCGAAGAGTAGATTTAGAAGAGTGCAGTACTTACTTTATTTCCATTATAATTATAAATGAGTGATGTTTTTTTTTTTATTGTTTATTGCGGATGCGTCAATTAAAAAAATATATAAATAATTAAAATTATTAATAATTATTAATAATAAAGTTTATAATACATTATTAATATTAATAATATTAATTGTTACTTATTACTGAAATTACTCATATTATGAATGAGTAATTTTGAATAATGATTTAGTGCTATTGCTTTTTTGTTATTAAATCAATAAATATTAACAAAATTTTCGGTTATTTTAATTTTCAAAATATCAGATTCTCCGAATGAATTCTGAATTCATTTATAATTTTTTGTTAATAATTACTATTTGCGTAAGCATAAAAATATTTAATCATATAAAATATATCCATTTATTTTACAAAAGTCTAATTTCAAAGATGTAGAGTAAGTTATTAATAATTTAAAATAGTAGAATTTTTTTGTAAATAATAATACAATTTTATAGAGCCAGATGGAGTATAAGAAACATTTTATTTAACAGATTAATAAAAACTTTCAATATGAATATAATTTCAATATGAAAGAATGAGAATTTATTTTTAGGTAGTATATAGAATATTTAATGTAAATGAAGTAAAGAGTTCGATATTAGGTAATGTATTAAAGAAAATTTTAAATTTATGTAAAGTGGCTCTCAAGGATGATGATGAAAATATGGGACTTCGAAATAAGATAATTTATTTGTAGTAAATATTGGATTAAAACGTTAAAAAGAAGTGCAATGAAGAATAGTTAAAAGACTAATGATATAAAAGAAATAAAAAAAAAAATTAAATATATATATATATATATATATATATATATATATATATATATATATATATATATAATTAATAGTAGATGAGCTTAATAAGGAAATTAACGTGGTAAAGAAAATTCTGTTTCGCATGAGTAGAATTTTTAAGATTAATGTAGTATTTACAATATCAAGCAAATTAGTAGTGTAAATTTATGTCAGTTTCAGTTCTAAAAAATCCAGACGTACAGTAGAATAATTATTTAAATAATAAGAGACCTCTTATCATGTTTAGGCTATTGATGATAAAAATTTTTGTGATAAGATTTCAGATAATATTTATATTTTTTACCTTATATTGTATTAGGTTTAGAGCTCTTCGTAACCAGGACATTGTAAAGAAAGTGAAAAGTGAGAAAATTCCTAGTAAATGTAATCACGATAGACGTAAGCACAAGAGCAGAATATCGTGTCAACGTTTTATAAATAATTATCATAAAAAAATATTTCAAAATAATTAACGATACTTTTACAAAGTATATTGATGGTATTGCAACAACACTAGCGACAAGAAATAATGTTATAATTTATGAAATATAGATAAGTCGAGCTGTATGAATGTATTATAAATTTTTGTCGAATATTTATGCTACAATATTTTATTATGATATACATATAATAATATTCATATATTCTATAAAATATTATATGTATACCCGTACAATGTATTATTTGACCAAGACTATTTGTATGTAGAAAATTAATATTGATACGGTCAATTTATTTCGACGTTTTTAAACTATAAAGTCGAGTAAATAATTTTAAGAAAGAAAGAATTTTTCTTTCAACAAATTTAGCACATTTTCTGTATAAATATTAATCGACGAACTATATTATCAATTCATTTAAGATCTTCAATACCAATAGTAAGAATAAATTTATGCTCAATATTTTACCAAACAATTAAAGTGAATATTTATTAATTCAATGGTTATTGGAATCAAAATAAGCTAATTGGAATGATATATTTGCTTGTCTTGAATTATATATTTCGTATTTGTTTATTAAATTCGTCGAAAGTACTAGTTTAATTTATTAATAATTATTCTTAAATTTAATTTACTTGCTACTAAAATTGCATTTAATGCACTAACGTATTTGTTCATTAATACGTTTCATATTAATTTATATTTCTCATAAATTATCAGTAATATATTATTTAATTTACTACTTCTAAATCCTTTATTATGAAATTCATTACAAATTCAACATTGAATTATAAACTTTATCTGAATAACTGGAACAAATTCCCTCTACTACTAACGTAATTTATTTTATAAAAAAATTTAATTTCGGAAAAAATTGATCTTTCTATAAAAAAAGAATATCGATACGTTTATCTTATCTCTATTGTTCATCTAAAAGCATCGGGGAGCCGGGCGCTGCATCAATTCTATCAGAAAAATTTCATTCGGCTTTTCTCTATTGCAGATGGCCGGAGGGAAGTAAAATTCGTACAGGAAAGCTCATTCGCAGAATTAAAGTTCTCGTCGTAACGCGTTCGCAAAGTATCTCATACTATTCCATCGTTAACTCATGAGTTTCAGTATTACGCAATATAATATTATATATATATATATATATATACATTCACTTTTCTATATAATATACATATAATTTATTATTGTTGCGTGGAAAAAATTCTCATTTATAGAGGCATTTTTATATGTAATTTAAGTCCCAGTTAATATTAGTTTCTTCTGTATCATAAAAAGACAATTTTCAACACATGTTTTATAATATATATGTTATAGAACTCAATGGATTTCTTTCTTTTTATTAGAGTCTAAAAAATATAACATTTATTAACTGATATAGATTATAAGAAATTACTGATATATTTTGTTTTAATGATAATACGATATTTTAATTATAGTAATTAAATGCATAATAAGTTATTAATATAAGTAAATTTTATATAAACTAGTAGCGAATTTACAAGTTACAAAAAAAGCATTTTAATGAAAGATTAAAACTTTCAATTGAAGCTTTAAACTTTCCTGTTTATTATTTATATTTTCATTTATGAAAATAGTTTGATTCATTTGAAATGATGAAATGTTTAAATATAAAATAAAAAAACGTTGAATTATCAATATTTAAATAATCGTATAAATTTTATATTAAATTGATATTCAGAATAACAATAGAACTCACGTAAAAATATGTATATATATATATATATAGTTTTTTTTGTTGATTATCAATTATGTTAGCTATTAATTACACTGCTAACAATTTCATTTAATGAAATTGGTTTAATATATTCGTATCGTAATTAACACAAATGAAGCTTCTTTATTTATTAAGATTTGCTTTCTTTAGTAATTTTATTTTATAAATGTTCTTTTTTATTTTGCCTGGTATGCCAATTATCAACGTAGGATTCGTATATTTTCATGTCCATGCATGTAAAAAAAGTTATTCATACATATAAAACCATTCAACTAGTAAATTTAAAATTACGAAGCTCCTTAAAATACGGAAAATACTTTCATCTTTTATCAATCTTTATATTTTATGTTATTAAGAATTGCCTTAAAATTCAATCTAGTCTAGTATAAATAAGACATTCGATTACTTCAAAGTCTAGAAATAAAAAGATTTTAAAAATCTACGTATTTCTTATAAATATCAATGATTAAATTTAAAAGATAAAAGTGATTAAAATAAAATCTTATTTTTATATATAATAATAAATTTGTATTTTGCTTGTGTTAGAATTTAGAACTTTCTCTTATTAATTTCTAATAACTTTGAAAATAAGTTAAAATTTTAAATGAGAAAAATATACAAAAAACGTCTTCCCAAAAGGTATTTATTTAATTTTGTTTAAATTCTGTTATTAGTATAAATAATTAAGAAAATAAAATTTTCACTTTCATTTAAATTAACTAGTTTTAATAATGAAAGATCATGAGTTTGACTGCTAGTGGTAAAACATTATATTTCCCATTTTTTGCTAACTAGTTTGTATTTTTAGTTTATTTATTACTAATTAATCATTATTAATTATACATACAATAACACATGTTTTTTCTCTATAAATATTGTGTTAATTGCTCGTTAATTGTAACACTCGAAAATGTTCATTTTTCAAATAAAATGAAAATGTTTACGATAAATTTTAAAATATGAATTTATTTTAAAATTTTGTTATAATAAGATTTATAAATCATAGTATTTACAAAGTTTATATTGATTTATAGTTTTGTTATATTGATGTTATTTTATATTCGATATATATATATATATATATATATATTTATAGTAAAACTTTAGGATTTGTATTGCTAAGCAAAGAAATGACTATAGCTTATTTTATATATTTAATATTTTAAATTTGATGTGACTATATACTATTATTAATTAAATATAGATATTATTAATTAAATTTAAGATATATTTAATTAAATTGAAGCTTATCAAGTAACGTTTCATGTAATAAAATTTTTTGGTAACATAAAAAAAAAAAAAAAACAGAGCTTCTACTACAATGTGTACAATTTTTTGTTAAAATATTTCATCATTAATAATAATATAGGTTCTATACATAACAGCACTTAATCTATTTTTTATAAATTCCTTCAATGGAGAAGTTATTAAAATATTTTATGAATTTCTAGTGTCACGTAAAAATTTAATCCAGTTCTTTGAAGTGCACAATTAAATGAGAAGATTATGATGAATACAAAATACATTTATATCTAGAATATTTAATTAATTTCCA